CCCCCACCCCATTTTAATCTAAGCTCTAAGAAACTGGTGATCTAAATAGCACTCCCCACTCCCTCGATTAAGAAACGATAACCTAAACCATGTACGGGTAACATCCCTTCTTCATCGCCGACACTATCATACCATGTCGCCTCCTATCGCTCTGCGTCATCGTCATCATGCATCGCCACATCTTTGATCTATGTTAACACCACTATCGACTATCTCTTCCTCAACATGTACTTGACATCTCTATCATAGATCATCTTCTTATTCAAACTCTTGCATATTGAGTTATGTTTCCATCTTCTTCTTGTAGTTTTCTGTTTCTATTCCTTATGTATTTGTATTTCATTATTCTGCTCTATAACATATTAATATGGTGACCGAGTTAAGAAAATATTTTGTTGTGAAATCAGAAAATGATCACTTGAAGTATCACAATTAATTCATTTTAACCCCAAATAGTTTGAAAATCATAATCACAATCATTTGTATCCAAACAATAGTTATTTCATTTTGACCCTAAATAGAAACTCACATAAGTCACCAATATGTTTTGACTAATATATAGCTACATCTCTAGCTAAGATTTATGCTCCCCTTCCTCTCGTCCCTAAGTTTATCACCTAAAATGCATGCTAATATAATACATATAAACATGAAGCTTAGTAAGTATAAATATCTCAACACAATAAAGTCCATAATAAACTTCACTGGTGAAGTTGAAATGTAAAAATAAATGATGTAAGCTTAGTACATATCCATAAATATGTATTTTTGACTGCGGCATAGTGTCGTCAGCTCGTGTCGTAAGGTGTTGGGTTAAGTCTCTCAATTATTCCTGGGATGGGAGGGAGCAGGTCTTGCTTCTTATTTGTTATGACTCCTAAACTAAAGGTCTTAATGATATCTAAAGTGTGCAATGAGGGATCTTCAACATAGGTTAGGTGTTATTGATGGAACGTGGAAAGCCTATCTTTCTCCATATGGAAGTGTTGCGGGCACATAAAGATATGGGTAGAGGAAGCCTCAAAACGCGAAGGTTGAGCTGGTGTATTTTAAGTTTGAGAGTTAGGGAATTCAATATTGGTATTGAAAGTACGGGATCGTACTGCTGAAATGGGCTATTTGGATAGGAATGAAATAAGTTCTGAGCTAGCGAGTTAGCGCAAGAGCATACTCTTGTTTTCTTCACCGCCTATCTTTAATTTTACAAAAGATTAAACAAAAATGGAGGCCGCAGATCAAACCCTTAGTTCAGTTTCGAGTTTTATAAGTACTCTCGGTTAATCATATCATTCTCTAGACGGGATGGGTGTAGGCATGTTTATTGGAGCATTTAGGAAGAACCAACCTCTTTCTTTTTCATCCTCTTTCTTTTTCATCTAGGCATCCACTTTTCTGTTTTAGTACCATACAAAAGGAAAGGGAGGACATTAAGCAAAAGGTATGCGCAGGCGTAGTAGTTCAAGGCGGACAGGTAATGGTTCATATGATGCCAAGGAAATCATGGAGATGGGGTACAAAGTGATTCGAGACTCTTTACACGGACGAAAGCGACGGGGATGTGAACTTCTCTTTTGGATGTACCTATCCCTCTATTGATCAAAACTTGTTAGTTGGTGTTGGGAAATCAAGCAAGCTCGAGCCGATGGGGTCACGTACAAGTAGTGACAATGGCAATCTCCTAAATTATAAGAGATGAAGATAAAGTTAGTGTTGCCCCCCCCCCCCCCCCTTCAGTTAAGGCCAGAAAGAATTATCTTACCTTTATCTCATGTAAATCTTAGAAGTTTACTTTCTTTGAAAACCAATGATAGTCGTTATGTGTCACCACCTCCCACCTATCCTACACATTCGATCAAGGTTCAAACAAAAGGCTTGCTAGGTGATCGAAATCGCTCAGGTCGGCAATGACTCAAATTGGATCATTGATCGATTTCTAGGTTTCGTCGTAAACCTAATTGGTTACTTCCAATTACGTAAATCAATAGTTAAAAGCATCTGTTCCCTAACGAGTCCCATATTCGAGCTAATTTCGATCGTTCTTGCTTTTGTGTTTTCGTAGCTCATGTTGATAATTCCTTAGAATCAGTTTCGGGTGCATAAGGATGTTATGTTCAGCCTGGAATACAATCATGAAGTTGAAAGTACCAGAAACTCCTAGAGGCATACCATTAGAAAAGCTTCCTTGACCAATTGAGTAGATCAAGAGAACAACAGTCACAACTGTAACATGAGTTGGATATGCAACAGCAAGAAGGAAGACAAATAGGATTGAAGCTATAAAGCTATTCGTTCATGAATGCTCAATGTAATGCAACACATGATTTGCTCAATATCATAGTGTAACTCGCACTAGACTCCTCTCATGACACAACCTAAGATCCTGACCGGTATGTTTTTACTCAAGAATAATGTATATATGGACCTACTCAAGAAATAAATTGATATATAATCTACAATAAACCTTTTCTATATAACCCTACTATACGCTCTACTTAAGAATCTATGTGTATGATCCTACTCTAGAAACCATATAATATATGCTCTATTCAACAAATTCTTGTGTATACAATAGCCCTACTTAAGAAACTATATACAATTGACTTACCTCATTTGCACTGTATGACGATATCATGCGAATGTACCCATGTTACTCACCTTTATTGAAGACTTGGATATCTAAAATCTTCCTCTTATTGTACACTTAAATACATACACAAGGATTCCTCATTGGCAATATATATATATATATATATATATATATATATATAATATATATATATATACACTAGTTTATAACCCATGAAACCACAGGTTATAAAATTAATTAAACTTTTATAATAAAAATTTATAATTATTAATCAATTATTTTAAATAAATCATTTTAATAAATTATTAATTAAGAGATATATCAACTTTTTAAAGTTGTTATAACTTCAAATTTAAAATCATAATTGGAAAATGTAAATTTGAATTTTGAAATGAGTTGCCTAATATATCTACATGACACATGACATGACATAATACTAATAAGGAATTGTATTAGAGTGACACTTGGCAAAAGGAGATTAAAACTATTCATTTATTAGAATAGGAATATATATATATATATATATATATATATATATATATATATATATATAGATATATATCTATATAATAATATCTATATCAACATATGAAAATAATCCACTTATGGTCAAATGCTTTTTTTCATGTAAGGTGAATACATGAGCTCCTCACATGTATAACTAACATTGATTTTTCTTTAATCCATTACAATTCTCTCTTAACATTTTGAATCAAATCCCTATTTCACCTATAAATTACTTATCTCTAGTAATTCAGTGCAATATTATCATTTACAAAATCACAAACTTCAAGCACATTTAAGTTGTTTCCTTCATGTTGAATTTTCTTTTACCTTTCGATCTTTTTTATCATAAACAATCCTAAAAAAGCTTCAATACCATCTCGTCCGGTAGTATTGTCCATGTAACAAATGCAGCATAAATGTATAGAAGCAAAGTTGAAAGAACTTGAAAAAGATACATTATGCTTGTATTGTATCTTGTAAGCCATATATATACAATACAACAACTTACGCTATTAATCAAATATACCCCCCTATTAAGTATTTTTTTTTATCAAATACCGAAAATACCCCTACGATGACGCATCATCTTCATCTGACGCGAGCTCAAGACCCTCGGCTGCTAAAAGTTTACTTATGATGAGTTTTTTCTTCTCTTCATCTGCCTTCTTTCTCATCAAATCCCTCTTCCTCAACACAAGCGTATGCCTTTTCAAAGTATTATTGAAATTCTCCATTGATGCCTTCTTCTCTTTCGCAAGAATTCTTCTTTCCTCATCAGGATCAATCTATAATTCCATATATCATTAATCTATTTTTAAATAATTAATTTATTAAATATGAAATAAAATCAATACCTTTGAACGTGAGAGGCGCCGAACACGGATATTTAACTCTTGTTGTTGTTGTTCTGCCCAAGCAACAATTGCCATGTCACCACGTTGATCAAAAGCCTTCCGCTTTTTCATCAGCCACTCCATCCATGCTTGAGATGCCTGCCACGTCAGCAAGTATCAATGATCGAAATTTAAAATACCAAAATCACAACTTGACAAGGGTATTTACGTCTTTTCCACAAACAAAAGATTGATACTAAAATCATTGATGATTACCTTCATTGGATTGACACGGTTTTCCATATCATATTTTCTTCTTTGATCACTATCTATTAGCAACTCATAGGCTGCTTGAATCTTGATGAATCGAGCTTCAGCAGTTTCTCCTTCCTCAAGAGACCCTCTGCCATCATAAACTACAAACACAAAATCAGATAGACTACTTAAAGGATAGTTACGGAATTTAATTTATTTAAGAAAAAAAAATAAAAATAAATAAATAAGCATGTATATTCATTCATAAGCCAAGAAAAAAAAAAAAAAAAAAAAAAACCCTATTACCATTTAGAAACTACAAGGAAAGTAAACAAGGACAAACCATCGGGATGATAGAACTTTGCTAAACGTCTGTATGCCAACTTTATTTCATCATCATCAGCATCGCCCTCCAGCTCTGTGTGATTACATTTTTAACACATCAGATATGGGGTAAATTTACTAATATACCCTTATATCATCATCTTGTTATTCATTTGTGCAGATTTGAACATACCAAGAGAGAAAAGTACATTCTCATCTCTTAATTCAATCCTAACTCTTCATGTTTAATCAAGTTTTAGGTGTTTTATAACAATTCAGTTCTAATAATCTTTTAGACTACACAAAAAGCGTAACTGTAAAAGATCTATTACATGAACATGTTTTTTTTTGTAATTTACAGAGTAATAGAAACATTAAAAATGAAAATATATACCAAGAGTATCGTATGGAGATTTCTCGTTAGTCCAATTAGCTGCCCTAACTAGCGTCCTCCGCTGATGATTAGTGAATCCACCCCACAAGGGTTCAATTTTACGACCATCTGATGAATCAATTCCGGTAGAGAAAACTGTTGAACGGGAAGAAGACAATCGAGGGTGTGAGGAATTATTAGGGTTTCGTATCGAATTTGAAACCCTAACAATCGATCGAGGTCGACACCGAGCTCTACTGTAACAACATGTTATCGATGAGTATACCGCATGATGAGGCCTACAAATTCCCCTCAAATTGCTCATTGAGTTTAAACTTTCTTTCGATTCTCAGCAACCCTAGTTCTAATTTCAAGAAATCAATTACGAAAGAATCATCAAAAATTTGGGATTCTGATTTGGGGTTTTCTTCTAAAGATTGAAGATGCGTGAAGGAAATGAAAAGGAAAACCGAAATCTTACAATTTTTCAGTAGAATGTAATGTTTTGGGAGCCACGTTATTTTTTAATATAAAATGCTGGTGTGGTTTTTTTTTTTTTTTTTTTTTCTTTTTGGATGTTTGGGAGCTATTTTTTAAAATTATTTATTAAATTTTTGATTTTTTTATATACACTTGTAAACTATTTCTTAAATATATTTATGTTTAGGGATGAGCATATTAACCGGGAAACCGGCCGGAACCGGTACCAGAACCCGATATTGCTATTTCTTGAGGGTCGGTTCCAACATTGAAGACACGACAAAAACCGGTAGAAACCAGGGTAGAACCGGCGGTCCAGTTCGGTTCCTATTTTCCACCAAGTTCGGTTCTCGGGCCGTTTCCAGCCGGGTCGGTTCCTTTGCTCATCCCTATTTATGTCCACTATGAGACTTTAACCCACAATCTTAAGATGGGGACAACATCTGATATTGCTAAGTTAGAAGCCATTTGGTAATTTATTAGCTTATCAAAAAATTAATTAATTAAAAAAGTGGTTGGTAAACACAAATTTTTTAGGTAAAAATATTTTTTTAAAAGTCAAGAATTGAAGGCTTCTCCAAAAAACCAACAAGCATATTTAAAAACACTCTCAAACACAACCTTAGAATACGAAGTTTAGTATTTAGTATTTTTCGGGTTTTATGAAAAGTTTTTGGGAAATCTCTAGAAAAGTCTTAAATTTTTACCCTAATTTACGAAAAAGTCTCAAACTAAATTTTGTTTGCGAAAAAGCATGAATTACCGGTTAAAATGGCGATTTGATCCCTTTTTCCCGGTTTACCGGTTTCTTTACTTACCTGTTTCATTGAAGTCCCATTATTTTATCCTAATTTACGAATAAGTCTTAAACTAAAATTTAGTGATGATTTGACCATTTTCTCTATGTAACATACATTTTACTGGTTTCATTGCTGACCCGGACGCCTAGTCATTAAATGAGATGATGAGATGGATATGGTGAGTTATATAATGCTATGTTTACCATAAAACTTGATATCCTGATGTATTGTATATTCTTTTGGAACATAAAATGCATCCAACAAAGACTGTAATAATTACATAAACTAGCAACAATTGCGTTATTTTTTACGTATATAAGAAATATCAAATTGTGTATCTAATCTTATGTAACTCAATATATCCATCTCATGAGACATCAACTCATTTTATGCCTTTTTTTCCTGGAAACACACATTTTATTGGTTTCATTGCTGACCTAGATACATAGTCATAAATGAGCCGATGAGATGGATATCAAATTTTACAGTAAATGTAGCATTATATAACCCATGTATCTATCTTATCAGCTAATTTAATGACTAGGTGTCTGAGTCAGCAATGAAACCGATAAAATGTATGTTACATGAACAAAACGGCCAAATCATCACAAAATTTTAGTTTGGGACTTATTCGCAAATTAGGGTAAAATAATGGGACTTTAGTGAAACTGGTAAGTAATGAAACCGGTAAACCGAAAAAAAGGGGTCAAATCGCCATTTTTACCGGTAATTCATGCTTTTTCGTAAACAAATTTTAGTTTGGGATTTTTTCGTAAATTAGGGTAAAATTTTAGGACTTTTTTGGAGATTTCCCAAAGTTTTTTATGGTTTTAATTTCTGTCGTGGTAGGTCCTTCATCTCTCACGCTAGTGTTATCCACCACAACCTTCGTCACCGTCCTAACGAACGCTAGCATCGTCGTCACCACCAACACCTTCAGTCGCCAACTTCAACCTTAACGATGTCATCTCCTTCCTCACCTCTCTCTCTCTCTCTCTAACACAATTAAATTTACTAGCTTCAATTACTTAAATTAACCTTTTGTCTTCCTCCCCTAAGTGGGGGAGGCTAGGATTTCAGCAAATAAAAAGAAAATTTTTCTTGGCAAGACGCTACGGAGGTTTTCTTAGCATGGGTTTGTTGCGTATCTCTCAATGGTTCTAGTTGTGGTGTCGGTTTTGAAAATGGGTGGATGAAAATAGTCGAAAAAGGCAGCGATGGTGGCAGCATGGGGTGGCCATTAAAGGTAGCTTTGGTGGTTGTTTGGGGTTTTGTCTACACACCGAGGGTAGTCCAATGAAGTGACTTTAGCAAAAACAGATGGCTGGAACGGATGTCATGCGATTTCTAACGACTTTTAAGGTGTTATCGCATGGTGGATGTTGTGGGGATTTCTTAGTTCTTAATCGTTTGTTCCTGATAAGGGGATACCGACATAAGTACGTGAAAAGCGGGCAGGAAGGATCCATCAAATCAGGTGGCTTTAGATTCAGTTCGTTTGGCAGGTTGAAAGGAAATAATGAAACGGGTGGATTTGTTTTCTTGGTCGGTGGAGATGCCTCTTGGAACAAAGGTGATCGAAACAAAGGAAGAGATTCGAGAAACTACACTGTGTGAACATTATGGCGTTGGAGTTCAAATCAGGTGGTTTTAGATGAGGCCAAGGAACAGATCGTTGATTCGGGAGAAGTTGAGATGATAATGAACATGTCTAACAGGACATCAGTCCTTAATTAATATACGTCAAACAGAATATGATATGTTCTCACATAACATTTGTTATCCGAAAAAAGGGGAATGAAAATGCATGCTATGTAACATCCCATTTTTACCATAGTCGTAGAGTGTAATTATTATAAAATACGAAATAAAAATATATTAATCTTGAGCCAAAATAATTATCATGGACACGTAGGAAACGTCAATACGATTTCCATAAATATATAGAGCGCCTAAATCCGACTTTGTAGTAAGAAGTTATGCTTCTTCGAAGTTTTGTGTTTAAACTGACGCGGCTCAACGTATCGAAAAAGTGAGTTTTAGATGGGTGGCTTATTAGCTTAAGTAATCTAAATGAAATTTGTAGTAGTTGTAAAACCGAGAGCGTACATATTTAGAATGCCCAAATCTAACTTCACGAGAGGAAGTTATGAATCTCGCAGCAATCGTAGCAGTCTAAGCCAATGAAAATATACATTTTTGATAGAGCAAGAATTAACTGTTGAGGCCTTAATGAAAGTTGTATATCTTGTCGAGAGCTTTCTGGTGATATAAAAAACATCGAAAACGGAGCTCTTATGCGAAATTTATGGTCATCCGAAGATCTACGAAAAAACGCCTGCGCTAATGACGTGGCAACACCGGAGACGCGATGGCGTGGAAAGATACGGATGTGACATGTAACACTCCAATTCAGGTATTCCATTTTTTATCCTCAAGTATTTCATTTTTGGCAAAAAGGGTCCTTCCGTACGTTGTGTGTTTGGTTACGCTTAGCGTACGCGTGTGTGAGCATCGAATGGCTGAGGCTCGTACGTTGGGCGTACGAGCAGGTACGCGGGGCGTACGTTGCAGATGGCTAAAAACCTAATTTCTTGACTTGAACCCTATTTAAACAACCTTATATCATTTGGACCAAACCCAATCAGCCTCCATAGCCTCATTTCGTCCTTAAATCGTATTTTTGCAAGAACTTTTGAGTTTTGAGCTTAAAGGTGTGTTTGGTGACTTTTCTAGAGGGTGTTCAAGAAGAGGAAGGAGGTGACCAAGCTTTGGATGTTATTGAGCTTCTAGATCCTGCATCTAATTCATCTTGAGGAACTTCTGTAGGTAAAAAGTCGAAACCTTGCCATCTCTTTTGCTAGTTTGAGTTAGTATTTTGTTATGAAGTCCATTTTTGGTTCTTAGACCCTCTTTTTTGAGTTGAGCAACTCCAGATACTAGGATTGTTAGATCTAAGCTCCTTGAGCATGTTTGATGCATAAAGTTGCCATCTTGAAGGTTATATTGAGACCATGCATGAGTTTAAGGTCTCAAAAATGGTCTTAATGGGAGAAATGAAGTATTGGGGACCCATATGGCATGCAAGGGCATAAAGTTGCCAACTTTATGCCCTAGGACATCTTAATAGACTCAGAAGAGTTGCGCGTACGGCCAAAGGGTTGAGTACGCTAAGCGTACTGATGTGGTACGTTATAGTTTTAGTGTTATAGTTTTAGTGTTATAGTTTTAGTGTCCGGGTTTAACCACGGTGTTCAATTTATCCCCAATACAGCTACATAACTGTCCGGGTTTAACCACGGTGTTCAATTTCTCCCAGAGACTTTTAGTGTTATAGTTTTAATGTACACCTAGGTATGCATTTTATTCAGAGTGTTTTAGTCCCATTGTATTTATAGTTGCATATCCTGTATGATTAGATATGCCAGTTCACTATAAACAATGCTCTGATACCAATATGTCACATCCCCGAACCAGACGGCGGAAACGTCCGGGGGGCTTGCGCGTGACTTCATCCTTGTAGTATCATCACAAAGTATATAATAGAAACATAACATCATCATCACCAGACATGTAATATTACAACGTACATTGTTTACATCGAGTATTGTGTTTGAATATTACATGCCAAAATAATTAAAGTCTGATGAAATAGAAATATAACAAAACATCCATTAGTTTGTTCATCCCAACCTGCTTCAACGGTTTCCTGAGAATACAAGTTAATTTAAAAAGGTCAACATAAAAATGTTGGTGAGTTCATAAGCATGTTTGAGAAAATGATTTGTATAACTTTGCAATCACAAGAAAATCCTATATTTTCTTAAAATAGTTTGGTATGTTTATGTCTGATTTTGTATTAAATGCATGTGTGTTGTTGTTTAATGGAATGCCAAAAGTGAATGAAGAGAATGTAAATAGAATGCCCCCAGACAACCCTATGTTTCCTGTAAAATAAGGAAAAGAATAGTCTCCCGTAAATTTCATAATGTTAATTCCTCTAAGTGAGCCGTCATAACCATACTAGATAATGACAATTTCGCCTATCTTGGCGTTTGTGAACGCCGACGGAAAATAGAATAAGGTTTCGTCACCCTAGACTGGTTTAGTCTAACCGTAGCGAACAGCTCAAGTGTGGGGGTCATCCCCGTATAGATCTATACACAAATCCCCACTCTCCCTCCAAGAGACTCTGGTTATAACTACATGC